GAATATGGCAAATACTCACGCCGAAAGAGTCTACATAAAAGCAGAACTAGTGCTGCAGCAGAGCGCCCTACTTTGAAATATGTACAGAGAGATATGTATATTTTCTCCGCCACATCGTAAGATCAGGGGGAGGGGAAGGGAGGGGGGGGGGGGGGGTATGGGACACCGCTTGTCACACATTTGAGACACATCTCTAGCTCTAGTAATCAATTTAGAAAAAGAAAAGAAAGCCTGAATTTCCCGGAAATTTTGACGCAACTCCTTTTTTCAGATTTTTTTTCATTTAAAAGCTAACTTTATTCAGAAATGTTCAGCAGAATTGACACCAATTTTTATGTGTTTCTTTAGACGACGTAGTCAGTTATCATAATTGTTACAACAATCATTGATTCTGTTATCTAGCTGTTCCTGGATCGCCCTGGTAACGACATCCCGGTACCTGTAACTTTTTTGTTTTGTTTTGTTTTGCGCACGGGAGTTTTGATTTTGGGAAAAATTCAGAAAGCAGCTGGTGCCAGATCACGAGAAGCTCGAACTATATTAAAGGCTCTTTGCACACGTGCCAGATTACAGCCGCCATTGCTGACCTTCTCTTTTTTTACCGAGATATCAAGCCATTGAAGCGGGCTTGAACGAACAAATGCCAATGCTGGGGAGAAATACACAGCCTAATCTAAAATGGCAATAACCGGTCCTCTTGTTTTAAACTCGAAGCGAAGTGGTTAAAATAAGAGAAAACAAAAACTGAAGGTTAGTTATGGCGGCGCCCATGCACAGCTCCTACAAAACATCGACGTCAATTATCTTGGTGCCACATGGTCAAGACTCTAGATTAGTTTCCGCAGTGTTCGGAAGCTGTCAAAACTAGGCTCGTTCGATCTACCCGCACTTTCTGCAACGGTGCAAAAAAAGTGTAGGGCGGTGTATTTCCGGTCCTATCTCAATACAGATACCGGAGGTATATTGCCGTACACTTTTCTGCACCAGTGCAGGAGAGGCAGGTAAATCGAACGAGCCTACCACTTCGCAAAAGCGTGAAGCTTGTTTCGGCGTCTCCCTTGCACGAGAGCGCATGCGAATAAGACATGTACTACAAGACGAAGCCACGAGCTCTCGCAGCCGTACGGGCTGCAGGACGAAAAAAAGTACGCTAAAGGAGCGGTGCAACGACATTCAATTAGAATGTTTTTCACTTTACACGAGCTTACTGGCACTAGTGAGACTCAAGAATGCTCGCACGCAACGCCACTGGCCAAGAAACTCCTTTGTCGCGGTGTAATTTCAAGGGCAAAAGCGAGAGTTTCCATTCAATCTCTCCTTTGCAAAATTTGATGACGTAACGTAGAGATCGCAGTACACCCCAATGACGATATTTGAAAGCGGTTCATAGATTGGACCCAAAAATTGCGTGGACACTCGATTTGGGCTCGTGATTATTACTAGCTCGAGAAGCATTCGAGTAGTGGCCCGTGTCCAGTCGCTGTAACGACGACAACAGCCGAACCATAACAATGTCTGGAACGCAGCGCGTGTCCTGTGCCTTGCCAACCCCAGCGCGTGGCTATGATCAACGTTGGCGGCATAGAATCGTTTCCAGGTCACGTGGCTCCTTGTTCTGGCTGCGAGATGAGAAAATAAACGCTGCTCATTTAAAAAAAAAAAATTCTGGGCTTCTATTGCGTGGGTTGAAAAACGAACGCGTGTTTCATAGGTCATTAACGTCAGGGATCCGTTCTAAGCGGTATTTGCGTAAAGTACAAAAATTGTTGCATCGCCCCTTAACCTTGACAACGTAGCAAAAAAAAGCTAACGCCAAATAAGAAAAAAAAAATTAGTGAGCAGTCAAAGCCTATTATTGCTTCAAGAACTGTTTTTGGCGCTCTGCGATTATCTTGAAAAAGTGTTAAATAAGTTTTTGAGGGAAAAATATATTATTGGGGTAGTGGAATGCGCGTTTTCACTATAAAAATATTCCCCCAAGTTCATGAGGAAATTTCGGTGCGAGCTTACAGAGCTCTGCACTTGAAAGAACTCCGCATCGAATGACCGTTCGTGCGGTGGAACCACATGTTCATATTAAAAGCTCTTGCACCTTTAAAGTACTCCATTACACTTTGAAAGGGAACCTGCCACTACAATTTTTTTAACTAATGCGGTTTAAGAATAATATAATAATAACTTCAATCGGCTAAGAAAAACCTCGATAACCCATTTCGAAAAAAACAAACAAAAAACACAACAACAAAGGGGTTACCTCATGTGAACAAACATAGAAATAAAAGGCCGGTTTAAAGCATGTCATTTTGATTTCTTCGTTATTTCTTATGCGATTCCTCAGTCGATCTGACGATACAATGTTATTTTTTTGTTTGTATTTCGTGTTTGGTTATAAAAACATATCTCGTTAAACATTTTGACAGATGACAGGAGCCAGACGTGGTATAAAAGCGGAAGAAAGCTACGGGGATTCTTAGAGCAAATCTGTTGAAGTTGATCGCATCTACGAGACGTACGCCAAGCATTCGTGTCTTAATCTGTTTTATGTTGAATCTAATGCATACTAGAGTTGTTTCTGACTGCTCGTACATTCTCAGGTAAAACATTCAAACGATGATTTTTTTCTTTCTACATAGCTCATAATACAGTCTAAAACGCGGAGACAACTTATATATATCGGTGGCCTATTTGTATTTGACCGAAATATACCCGCACCGAACAAAAACAACCCTGAAAGTATGTAGAGTTCAACGTAATTATTAAATTATTTAATTTAAGAACGAATAAATTATTTCATTGCTCTCTTCTCGAATTGTTCGCCCTTAAAATTACCACGCCGGTATCAACGTTATTTTTAATTGCTTCATTTTGCATTTGACGCCGGTAAAATTGTGAGAAGTGAGGAATCACATCCTATAGAGGCATGTCGTTTTTATTGAATGTTATTATGAGTGATAGCGGTGAGATCATGGTCAGAGACTGGTGTGATAATAAATTGCTATTCCACTAGAGTACAGTGTTCTAGAGGTTGGGTTCTCTCTAGAACACTGTACACTAAAGACAAGTGCTAAATTACAAAGGAAGACGAAGATCAGTTAATGGCTAAAAGAAAAGAGCTAAGTCAATAATTTTTCTATCGCAGAATATTGAAATTTTTCCGTATCACTAAAACAAAATTACAAGTATCGTTAAGTGAAAGGCAATGCAACCTGATACGATGAAACCTGCTGCAATCAAACGACAGGGTTCACTACAGTGAATGGCTAGTCCCCAATAAGAGAGGAAGAAAAGGTCCGTTCGAGTCAGTGGGATATATGCGCGCGGCTGGGGAGCTGGTATTATAAGTCTCTAAGATCATGACCGACAGAGACGTACAGTCCAGGAGCTCGAGGGAAGATTCGAGGCGGTTCCGATCGCCTTCACCGTTCTCGAGGCGGCGACAACTTGAAGCCTCGTGCGTACATCGTAGCCGCCTTCGGAACTCTTCGAGGTTGCCGAGCAGCTCGGAAGCTAGTGGCAGAGAGATGGACAACGGGGCAGCAGTCGACGAGGAGTTCGTGGAGCCGCTGCCCAGCAACAAGCTGCAGAAAATAAAAACGCGAATCCCGAACCGTCGACGCTGGATGTGTGGTCGACTGCGCTGTCATCCCGGCAAAGTACCCGAAGAAGATGCGCAGCTGCTTCGCTCTCAATCATCCAGCATGCGTCATGCCAGATCATCCAGCTACGAGAGTACGTGGTCGAGGCGTGGGTGTACCGATCCAAATCACCAAAGCGCTGCATCTGACAAGTCGCAAAGCCTGGGAATCGTCGAGTATAGCCTGAAGAAGCATAGGCGTTGTCGGAGCCTTGTCAATGTGACTGCGTTTTCAGACTTGGCTCTTCCGTTCGCAGCCAATGAACATGAAGAGAGGAGCGACACAAGACTATGTTTAGCCGATGCTCGCCAAAAACGGATTCTGGCGGAGACTTCTCTGTCTCCCCAAGCAATCCAATGTGACTGGATCAGCACCTCGCGGTTCAGAAAGGACAAATTCAGAAATTTAACTTCAAGCGTCCAAGGAAGTCAACAAGACTGGGCGTATTCCGTTCGTAGAAACAGTCAAGAAGCGTCCGCATCTCAACCTCGGAAGTGTCTGGAATTAAGACACGATTATCATGAGCGTTTTCATGATAGAAAAGACATGAGGAGCCAACTGTCAGTGCCAGATCTGTTCGACAACAACCATCAACAGCTGACTTCAGACGTAATACGGACAAGCAGGCCAAAATATTGCACTGGTACCTCGAGGTCTGTTTCACCAGTATGGTCGGAAAGCTTGGAATTCAAGATGGAGAACGCGATGGAGGCTTTCACTATATCGAGTAGCGGTCTGGGACGAACTTTACCATCGTGGCTTGAACTAGACAGCGACACAAATTTCTCCGCGTCTTCAGCTGGTGGTATGGTGCATCTCTCGGGTTCAGGGTCTCGTCCTGCTAGAAATTTTGATGAGGACATTGCTCTTCCAACGCTGTCTTCCATTAGTGAAGTCACATCCACAGAAGGTGCAAACACAAATTCGATCACCCCTGAAACTGTTTTATACACTCCCGTGATTTTACCACATAAAAGCAATACCCCAGAAAAAAATTTATCTATGCAAGACTCTGCTCACGCTCCCGACATCAGCAAGGAGACTAATCAAGGTGTCGGTGATTACTCGAACGTTCGTTCCAAATCGTGGAAAACATTCCAACGGATGCTCGGGCGAGTACCTCCTGAACTCGGAGAGTGTGCTATACAACGTCCTCCGGTTCAGGCCTACACGTTCCACAGTCACAGTATGCGAAAGGGCGGCTTCCGCAAAAATGCTGGGCAAGCACACATCACCCGTTGTGGGGTGCCGACTGATGTGCCCCAAGGAACTAACACCTTTTTCAGCTTTGATATACTTTCTAAATCCTCGAAGGGGACGCAAGATTCACAGCCTCCCCTACTTGAACCTCCTTCCCCTTGCAGGATGAACAACATAAAGCAAGACGGAAAACATCTGCTCAAAGTGCTCAGAGCAACAGGAGCCAGCGGCGCTCTCCCACTGCACAAGGCAGCTAATGCAAAACGCCCGCAATCACCTCCTCGGCGTTTCCATTGCAGTCCGTCGCACAAATTCGTAGGGGCTGTGGACTCTCCTAGCGTTATTGTTAAGAAAGTAAACAGTACTACGCCGCTTGAAGAACCTCCAACTGTAGAGTCACAGCAGCCATTCAGACACATCATACTGTGCAAGCGCAAGTTGCTGCTATACCCATTCATTCCGTTACTGGCGCTGGCATTAATATTTGCAGGCACATCTACGTTCTTTCAAAACTCGAAGCCTGCTATGCCCCTGCACAATCATACTGAGCATACATTGAGAATATTGTCAACGGGTAGAAATAATACCCCAATATATCAAAACGATTCCACGGAGGACTACGATACCTGCTCTACGATCCCTTGCAAGCGGGATGGAGCCTATCTGTATGGCCTTTTGTCCTGGCATCTAGACCCTTGTGACAACTTTTATCGGTTCGTCTGCAGTCGCTGGAAAAGCGTCGTTGGTGCCACAAACACTGACCTGAAACTTGATGTCTCGGCCACTGTTTGGGACGATCGAAGCCATCATCTGGAGTACAGTGTGCACACTCTTTTGCTAAGAAGCCACACTGCGGAAGACCTAACACCACTCAAACGACTCTTCTACGAGTGCATGAATACGCGCCAATTGGACACCGATGACTGGGCACCGATGCTGGAACTACTATGGCTAGTAGGCCTGGAAGGTTTTCCATTTAGCTCCTCCCTGCACCGTAACAGCACCTCAATATGGGCGGTGGCCGCCAAAGTGCTCAAGATGACAGGAGCCGAAACGCTACTGAGCATGTTCACCTTAGCACATCCATCGAAGGCGAACGCGGACATTATCAGCGTTGGTCCGCCCGATATGTTGGCGCCAAAAGGCAGCTCTCAGCAGCAGGCAACGCAGTTCTACAACAGTACAGCTTTCGCCTGCATGATTTCTCTCAAGAAACAGCGCAACCCGTCTATCTACTCACTCGAGGTGGCTTCTCTCGCGTGGCGTCTCGAAGAGCTCGTCTACACCCACACAGTGATGGCTGGACTGCCGAAGCGCCGTATACAACCTCTCAAGGCGCAACCCGATGTTTCTAGTTTTCTTGGCGAGTTTTTTCCTAGCATCGGCTCGGCGCTATACATTGGTAGCCACACAGAAGTCTTGGTTCGTTCTCCGGTCTTCTTTGACGCCCTGAATAGCCTGGTGCACTCCACTGAACCCTACATCCTCATGAACTATATCGGAATTAGGTTGATGATTGCGGTGGCTGCTTTCGCGCCTTCCTCAGGCCGTCTTCTTGTGCAGACTATGGTGGAACACCAGTATGGTAGAGCACGACCCTCACTGCCCCGCTGGAAACTGTGCATCCGTACGATAGAAAGAGCGATTCCCGACTTGTTTTTGCACGCAGTGCGACTCGCCTACAAGACCCAGTTCGCCATGGACTCTGTGCAGAGGCTGCTGGATTCGATCAGGCAGTCACTTGCCGGTGACTTGGCCAAACTGGCCGTCCTTGATCAAGAATCGCGTGCCCAGGCTTTGGCACTGCTGAATGTTACACAATTTCGACTTTTTAGACCATCATGGCTGACCAACAAGGAAAAACTGGAAAGCTATGTGAGCGCGTTGCCTCGCGTAGTGCGAGGCCAGAACCTGCGGTCCTTTCACGCGCTTCACAGTCACAGTTTCGCTGAGATGCTTCGCCGAGATCAGGCCGACCGGTGGCAGGGTTCAGCTTTTGACCACGATTGCAGCTATGACGGAAAGGTGGTGTTTGTGCCTGTTCTCCTTTTTAACTTTTCTGTGTTTAACCATGGTGCTGACCAGAGCCTAGGTTTGCCACACGCCGGCGTGCGCCTTGCTCGTTGCTTGCTGCAGCTGCTTCTGGCCAACATCTCTCAGGGCGCGACTGCCGCCGTCGGACGCCTCTGGTGGCCTGACATGGCCAGCTCGTTCCTAGCCGACTCCCAGCTCTGCTTCCAACAGTACGGCCTGCCACATGTCGGCTCCCTCCAGTTGCTCGAGTACACGGCCGCCATCAAGCCCGCCATGGATTTGTACCAGGAGGACAAGCGAGTCGACATTCGCTTTAACACACTTCCAGCTTATAGTGCCGTGCACCTTTTTTATGTTTACTATGCCCTTTCTTCCTGTCAAGAGTCAAAATCGGACAACGCCACCGAGGTGGCTAGTTATTTGACCAACGTGCCGCTCTGGAATAACCGACTGTTTCAGGAGACTTTTCGTTGTCCTGTTGGTTCCCACATGAATCCTCCCAATAAGTGCGTTCTCTGGCGGGAAGCTCACTAGATAATCCGAGAAACTGAATTGAGTGAAGTCATATATATCCGGTTTTTGGGAACGTTCGTCAGTGCGCTTTTGCTTGAACAGATTTATTTTACCCGATCTACGGTAGTGCTGGCGTTGACAGTAACAGCGTGAATCATAAATAGTCGCGTTAAAACTTGAAGGAATTCTTGCGCAGCCATTTTAAGGACGCTGAAGGACCGAGAACTCGGAAACGATTACGAAGGTGTCGCCATCAAACGGAAGAGAACGACAGTAGTAGAATCTCGGCGGATACATATACACGTTGAAAAACGTTAAGCGTTCTGCAATGGTTGTTACCGTGCCAAGGTGTGTAAATAAAAATCATGGTTTAAAAGACGTAAAGCTCCTACGCACCATCGCATAGCACGTGTACATTTAGTAGTGCCGTCAGTGCTTATTAACGTACGTAACCTATCATAAAACGAGAAGCGCGCAGGCCGTGGCTTGTTTTTGAGACAACCAGTGTAGGACAAAATGCTCGATGAATGTATTTAAATTACCAAATGCCTGCTTCGTAAAGTATTTAAAATACTACTCAAGTTACTTTCACTGTAAAGTATCTTGAGTAGAGTACAAATACTTAGAAATGTAATTCGATTACTTTTGAAAATACTTCCGCATAGCGTAATATGCATCGACGTCAGTAACAACGACAATTATACAGTTGCGGAAATATGGTTTACCACAATGGTTTATTTGCACGCAACAACATAAAACGAAAAAAAAAAAAAAAGTATCGTAGAGCTATTTTATACAGTCTAACCATAAGGATCAGGATATTGTCACGAATGACAAATGATGAGGCGGCGAATAACTGAAAAAACTAAACGTTTAATGGGGTGAACTTGTGCCCAAAACAATAGAGGGTGAAAGGCTGGCGTCGCAGGCGTAGATGTCGGCGAAACTGCAGGATCGAGCGCAGGGGCGAGAATGACTCCGGATCGCCGCGCGGAGCACCTCTTGCACCCGCGTGGTTTTCTGGAACATTCGGCGTAGAACGTTCGGCGCGTATAGAACATTCGTAACTCCATCAAACGACAAGGTTCGAGAACATACGAGAATGTCAAGTTTAAAGAATAAATAAAAGAGGAGTCCGCTCCCTGGAATCGAACCGGGAGCCAAGCGCGGTAACCATTCGGCCACGCGCTTTTTTTTTTGTTTGGCTACGCGCTTGCTTGGCAACGCGCGTAGCAATGGGGAATTATAGTAGACCGTTTCTGCAGCCCGCTAAGCACCCAGATAGCGCTCCGTAATCCGCCACAAGACCTTGAACTCTGCAGACAAGGCTGGCGGCGCGCATGCGCAGTTGCGGCGTTTTCTTTACGGATACTGTAGCGGAGGACATAAACTGTCTACTGCAAGAGCCTAATATCACTGAAACATGTTGCAAAACATTTCTGAGACAGCAAGAAAAAGGTCACTTCAGCTATTGGGGAGGAGATCAGACCGTGGCGGCCCAAACGGTTAACTTTAGAGCTACACGGATGGGGACAACGAATACAATGGCTCAAGACTCGGCTGACATAACCGAACGTGGCGTCAGCGTTCGGCTGGAGTTCGTGTTCTCCGGTGAGGGAGAGGAGGGTCTCTTTTGTTACCACTCCAGCCTGTATGAACAATGCAGCTTGCACGGTGCCCAGCTTAGCACAAAAGCCCTCAAGCTCGCATCCTTTTACTACTGCTTTCGGGAGAGATCCGGCACTTCGTTTATTATTAGTATTTTTACATTACACTGCTGTGCCCCGCGCTCTATTAGAGGAGATAACGTGAACATTCCCACAAAGCCTGTGGGAATGTGCACAGGCCTTGTGTCGGGTAAACATCGAGGCGTGGGGGCAACAAACGGGTCAGAGCACCTCGCCAATAGTGACATCGCTGAATATCACCTCCTGCGGCGCCCCTTAGACGCATCGTTTAACTACAATCCGCATTCCCTATATGAGGAGTTCACTATAAACGAGCTTGGGATACGGATATGAGTGAATGGATAACAAAGAGAACCCCCATAATAGCAACGGCAATGGTCGCACCTTCTTTAAGTAGGTTGCGTTCAGAAAGGCACTCAATGTGTGGGGACGCTTTGTTGGCCTTTTGAGAGGTAATCCAGCTCGTATTTTGTTTCCTGTCCTGTACTCTGCTTATCAATGTTCGCTTACAGACTCTGTTCGCGAGAGCAATAAGTGATGGACTGATGACAAAAAGAAATAAGCGAAAGAAAACCTCGACGCTTTGCCGTAGCAAAGTCAAATATACAAAAAGCAAAACATTTTTTTTGGGGTTTGTGTCCACTTTATATTTTTTTTATTCGTTATTTTCTTGACACTGAAGTCTGCGTTGTTGTTTTAGGTTGTTTCCCGGTCTGCGTTGCGCCTCAGTTTGGCTATCTTTACTTCCGTAAAACCACCCCTTTTGTTAGAGAATTTTTGAAGGGAAAGTCCAGGAAACAAAAGGCGCCGTTGGAAAGGCGAGGGGAAAACCTTGGTTGTACGAACTTTAGGCTGAAATATGAGTCACTATCGGCAAAAAAACAAACAAAAACAAACGATGTTTTCACCAGCTTCATCGAGGTCACCTTACCTAATCGGAGCTAGCAACAGGATTTGGTTGTTCGAAAGAATGTTCACGTTTGCTTGTGCCACGCCCACGCCACTTCATACAAAAAAGCTCGGAAAATGGCGAAATGTCAAAAATGTATTTGAGATAATGAGTACCAAATACTCAGAAATGTAATTAAAATAGAGTATTAAATACTCTCGATCAAAAGTATTTCCAAGATACCAAGATACTTCAGAAGGTATTTTAAATACAGTATCTTGAGTATAGTATTTCAGATAGGCACAAGTCTGGACGCAACTAGCTATAATAAAATTGAGATCCAAACTCCTGTTCCCCGGTTTTGTCCGATTGAAATTAGCTGTAACAAAACGTGAGTTTAAACCTAAATCATAGGTTTGACGTGGAATCTGCCGTCAAATGCATCAATTTTAAGATTGACAGTGACAAACTGTGACAAAAACCGAAATTAAGTTCGCTAAAAACATTGTTTGCACTGTTGACATTAAAAGTAAGCTCAAACCGACCTTGAACCCGTCTTGCTGCTATTTTAAATAGCTGTGGCGTCATGTAGTACACACGTCAAGTGTTGGCTACACAGCACACGGGCGCGGTCGGTTCGCTTTAACCCCACCAGGCGACTATGGAGCACAAAGCTTAGGACTGTGTACAGTTCGCCTACTAGTTTAAGGGTGTCAAGAGATGATCAAAAGTTGCCGGCAGATGTCAAGGGCGAAACTGCGGTGCACTTGCCTTTTCCTCTGCGCGAACACGGTATGCCTGCCTTTTCCCATTTCACTTGGATAGTCTAGTATCGGACCGCCTCAGTTGATGCCTTACATGAATTGATTCCACTGAACCAGTATTTAGAAATATTTTTGGTGTTATAGTAAAACCAGAAAACCCCGATGATCCTGTGTCCACTTTAGCTGTGTCGCGCTCTCTACAGTGCTGCGTCTAGCTGTGATCGTAGCAAGTATAATTTTTCCTTCCGTAGCACTTCTGGGGTAATGCGTATTTATAACGCTGTAACTGTGTAATTAGTCGCATAAATTTATCAAATTTAGACCAACGTCGTAAAATATTTTATTTATTTATTTATGCTAAGCTGTTTGTGGAAATTTACTGTTCCAATTTGCGGACACTAATTCCTCAGAGTCCCACACACAACAACCGGTGTGCCAACATCCTTCTACGTTCCGCGGATTTGTAGTTGCCATAATGAAGTGCTCCGTATACGAGCAGGAATATAGTTGCCATGTAAGCATCTAAGTTACTCGGATATTATTTCGGGTGTAACGAAGGGCTCCTTGTGTCCCTTTTCATGCTGCATGACCCTCACTATTTCTTTTTACCCCTCCGTATCTCCGGTTATCGTTCATCGTAGTTGTTGAAGTTCTATTGAATCTTACGATGCATTTTCCCATACGGAAGGTTAGTTAAAAGGGCGTATTTTCACCCTGCAACTACCGGGGTGGTCGAAGCATATTATAATATATTGTTTTACAATTTCTTTCTTCACCCTTTTATGTTTCGATCATGTTATATTTCAAGCATTTTAGTGTTTGCGTGTGACAGTACCAAGACCGCAGGGTTTGCTTCTGGGCACCGTGTAAAACTTAATCTTGTATAGCGCCACATCATTCGGTGTTGTGCCCGTTACCGAAAATAAGTAACGAAATAGCGTTACTCGTTAGATCGTCAAAATTAACGCGTTATGATATTCGTTACCATCCAGCAATCGTGTAAAAATACAGTTACCCTCACTCAAAACAAAGAAAGTTACTTGTTGCGTTTCGTTTTTTTTTTTCCATCGAATACAAATTTTTGTGAGAAAAGCCGTGAAGGTGCACAAATACGGTCTGCGTAAATGAGTTATACGGCCAGGCGGGCATTATGTTCAAGAGATAAGCGGACGCGAACTTTATTAAGGATTATAGGCAAAGAAATAACAACGACTATGTGGGGAAGTCCTGAATATCAGTACCCCTTTCTTTACCATATAGATCCTCAGCTCCATTTCCGTGTTCCATGAGGAATTCCAAGAGCAATTGAGATAATGTTACATTGTCTAAGACTTAAAGTTGCATACACCAAAAATTACCTTCATAAAAAAGGCAAAACTGACTCTTCCGAATGCATATCACGTGCCAATGTCTATGACATCCAACACGTGCTGCGCGATTGCATAGAATGCAGCCTTGAAAGAAAGTGAATGAAGACCCGACTGAGTCTGACGGATGACCAGCAAATAGACCTTTATGCTTGGTTGGTCCTTTACGTAACTTGCTCAAGCGTATAACTGGAGCTCTGCATATCCGCGGATTACCCGCGGATTATCTGGGGATATAGCCACAGTAAACTGGCGGGTACGGATAAAAATGAATCAGAATTGACAGATTGCGGATCAGATGGGGATATCCGCG